CGAACCCGCGGGCTCAGGCAATCCACTCACCTCAGCCTCCCAAAGGTGCGGGATTACCAGATTTGTCTCCTCTCAGCTGTGTGACCTTGAGCAAGTTACTTCCCTCTCTGCGCACAGTGAATCCACACTTTGTGAGGATTAAATGAGCTAACATATGTAGAGTATTTAGAAGGGGGCAGAGCACACAGCAGGCACTCAGTGAATCACCATCTCTGTCATCGCCATCATGGCCTCCCTGGTCCTACTTCGACAAGAGAGGCTCCCAAATCTAATTCCCTTCCTCTCCCCTGTTCTTTTTTTTCACCCACAGTTTCACTGTCACATAGGCTGAAGTGCAGTGGCATGATAATGGTTCACTACACCCTCAACTTCCTGGGCTCAAGCAGTCCTTCCACCTTAGCCTCCCAAGTAACTGGGACTACCCACACGTGCCACCACACCAGGCTAATTTTTTGATTTTTTGTAGAGATGAGGTCTCACTATGTTGCCCAGACTGGTCTTGAACTCCTGGCCTCAAGTCCTCTCTCTTCAGCCTCCCAAAGTGCTGGGATTATAGGCGTGAGCCACCACACTCAGCCTCTACCCTATTCTGATTCCATAATCACCTTACCTGGCGAACTCAAGCTGCTCTGACTTTCATGGAACCTAAACCTCCGTGATTAGGTGACTCTGAGAGCCCACGACTCCCAAACCCATGCAGGCTGAATTCCTGGGGTTGTGCGAATCACCCAGCAGCATGCCCCAATAGAGGGGACACTATCCCGCCCGCAGCCCCCCCGTCCAGACAGCAAGCACAACACACACATCGCTTCTCTCTCCCCACTGATATATTTGATAATTGTCCAGAACCGGAGATGGCATCAACTGGGGGTTGAGGGGGAGTAAAAAAGAGCCCAGGGAGGTGGCTGGGAGAGTCTGGTTGGATGAGGAGTAAGGAGAGGGAGAGAAACAGACACAGAAAAGAGAGAGGAGAGAGGCAGGGGTTAGGGGAGAGAAGCCAGCCAGAGAGGGGAGAGAGGGACAGGGCGTGAGACAGTTGAGAGGGTGGGGCCAAGATAGGGCCACGGGGAGAGAGGGCCCCTCCCCCCAGAATACAAAATGAGGGGGACTGGAAGGGGCTGTCCTGGGCTTGGGGGGTGGGGAAGAGACGGGCGATGTGGTGGGGTTGAGGTCAGTAGTAGGTTTCTTTCTCCACCCAACCTGGAGAGACAAAGAAGGAGAGAAAGAGACAGAGTAAGAGACGGAGAGAGACAGGCAAAGAGAGAGGGACAGCAGAGGGGGAGAGACAGCGACAGAGAGAGAAACAGGGCCAAAGAAGCCAGGAGGGACAGAGACGCGAAGACACACAGGAAGCTGGAGAGGACTGAAGAGACAGGAAGAGAGC